CCGGCTCCGACAGGTGAGAGCCCAGGGCTGCGTGGCCCATGCCCCGTACCCACAGTGCGCAGCCCCCCGAGACCGGGAGCTCGCTCCTTCCTCGCACAGCCCTACCTATTTGGGCCCAGAAAGTTCTCCTAGATCCGTCACTCTCCCCTCTCCACGCAGCGCCTGCAGCGCCGGGACCTGAGCCCGCATGCCCTGGGGCACTCATCAGCGGGGGCCTTCATGCAGACAAAGTCCCGGCCTCTAGAGTCAGGCGTGGATTTCAATCCCACCCACTTGCCCACTGGTCTCTGTGTTGGAGGAGGCAAAAGGGCAGACAATAATGTGGTTTAGCACTCATTGCTAGCCAACAGGTCTCACTCGCCTTCTCAAATGATCCCAGTACCTGCCATTTTGCAGATGGGGAAACTGAGGCACAGGGTTCATGTGACTTGCTCAAGGCCACTCACCTAATAAATGGCAAGTAGTGATTGGAACCCAGCCCTCCCGACAACAAAGTTCACACTCTTGCCTCCTCGGCTCCCTCTCCCCGGACCCCCCAGTGGCTATGTGAGAGTCACCTATACACTCCTCAGATGCCACTGTGTGCCCAGCCCTGAGGTGTATGTCTAGGGCCAGGGCTGAAGCTCACCTGGTCTGGCAGAAAGAACCACTGGCCCATGAGGAGTTAAGCAGCCACCACCCCCAGGCCCCTGGTGCACTTAACCATGACTCATCAGACCACGTGGCTGCCAGTAGAGCTGCCCCTTCACAAAGGCAGGGGACAGGGGGAGGAGGGACTCTCGCACCAGGGAAACAGCCCTGGCTCTAGGATGTCAGAAGAGGAAACAGGAGGAGCTCGCAGAGCAGCCCTGGTGGGGAGACTTGGGCTAGGTCGGGAGAGCCAGGCAGTAGGGCCTGGTGGCGAGGGGAGAGGGTTCGGGGAGTGCTGGTTAAACCTAAGCAGGCTTTCTGCAAAGCTAGGAGTGCTAATCCTGCCCATATATGAGCAGAGGCTGGATGCTCCCTGGCAAGGTTCATCCCACCTCTGGGATTCGGACATCGGCACGAAAAGATAGTTAACTACAAGGAGCAGATAGCCATCCAGCTAAGGGACAGTGCTGCGCAGGCTGGGGGGCCTGAGAGATTCCTGGAGAAGCTGGGCAGAGTTGACCCTTGAAGTTTGTATTATTTATGTACAAGGAAGCCATGGGAAGAGACACCAGATGGGAGGACAGTGTGGGTGACAGCGTGGAGGTGGGCACGCTGGAGTTTATGAAGCTGGTGAGAAGACCAGCAGCATATGTAAGAGGGGCCATAAGGACCTCGCATGGGCTTCTTGCAGCTGTTCCAAGTCTCGGCTTAAGAAGGCCCTCAGTAAACATCTGTTTAATGAAACCACCTCAGAATGCTCCAGAAAGCTCCGAAGTAGCTTTATCTCCCATCCTACAGATGAGAACACTGAGGCTTGTACCGAGTGTAACTTGGACTCGGGTCCAGCCATAGCATAAACCCCGGTCTTGACTATTTATCCTGTGGGGAAAGTGTGTGGAAATGGGGGTCACAGAAATGAGGGTGTATGCATGGGAAAAGTGGGGCCACTGTTGTAGAAAGAAATTAAGCCAGTGATGGCGAACCTATGACACGCATGTCAGAGGTGACACGCGAACTCATTTTTTCGGTTGATTTTTCTTTGTTAAATGGCATTTAAATATATAAAATAAATATCAAAAATATAAATCTTTGTTTTACTATGGTTGCAAATATAAAAAAATTTCTATATGTGACACGGCACCAGAGTTAAGTTAGGGTTTTTCAAAATGCTGACACGCCGAGCTCAAAAGGTTCGCCATCACTGGCTTAAGCTGTGAAGTCAGAGCTGCTTCTCCCTCTCTGGACCTCAGTCTTTCCATCTGTAAACCTGGGATAAATGTCCCCACCTCTCACGGATACTGTGAGGCTTACGGTGCAGTACTTGGGTGACCTCTTGTCCCCTTCCCCCTTCACAGCCCCTTCCTCCAGGTTTTCCCTGGCAGGAAGTGCCCTGTCTCCACCAGCCAGGACTCCCAGAGCCCTCCTGAGCTGCTGACTGTAAAACGGGTTGTCTTAAAGTGAGCGCGCCCCACCCAGCAGGCTACAGGCTGTTAATAATTCACAAGTAGACAGGTTCATCAACAAAGGGCTCTTGAAGAGGGCTGTAAGAGTCACAGCTCTTAAACATTCCCTGGAGAGGGGCCCTTGAGAAGGATCTAGGCCTGTTCCTTGGGCCAGCCTCCTCCAGCCCCATCGACTCTGACTCCCACTGGCTGTGTAACCTTGGGCAGTTACTGCCCGACTCTGCCCTTAGTTTTCATTTTCCTGCCCAATATAAAGAGGAGAGAAGACTGGACCAGGAGCTCAAGGGTCCTCCCTGCTCCGATGTTCTCAGTTCCGGGATCAGAGCTCTTCTACAAGTCTGGTCTCCAGGAGCTGCCTAGCGTGGGTCTAAGGAAGGAGCCCAGTCAGGCCCAAGAGACCACAACCAGTTTTGATTGGAAAGAAGGGGCATTGAGTGGCATCTTGTCAGGGGTGAGAGCAGTGGTTCTCAACCTTCCTAATGCCGTGACCCTTTAATACAGTTCCTCATGTTGTGCTGACCCCCAACCATAAAATTATTTTCGTTGCTACTTCATAACTGTAATGTTGCTACTGTTATGAGTCGTAATGTAAATATCTGATATGCAGCATGTATTTTCATTGTTACAAATTGAACATAATTAAAGCATAGTGATTAATCACAAAAACAATATGTAATTATATATGTGTTTTCCGATGGTTTTAGGCGACCCCTGTGAAAGGGTCATTCAACCCCCAAAGGGGTCGCGACCCACAGGTTGAGAACCCCTGGGTTAGAGCTTGGGCTCCAGAGCCAGGACGATCTGGCTGGATTCTTGGCCCACCATGTCTAGCTGTACAGCCCCCAAGCAACTCACCGTACTAGCTTAAGGCAGGGCAGGGAGTGGTCTAGAGGGCAGGTTTGCAAGGCAGGGCTTACACTCCTTCTCTCACACCCTGACTTCATCTCTGAAATGGGGATCTTGATGGTAGCAACCTCACTGGGTTGTTGCAAGGATCAAATGAGGTTATATACATAAAGCACCAGGAACAGGGCCTTATCATTAGTGTTTCATCTTTCCTTTCCTGACCCCTAAAGCGTGCTCCTGCCTCTGTCCCCTTGTTGTCTTTTCTTCACACAGCACCGGACCCATTTGATCAGATTGTGTCACCCTTCTGTTCAAAACCCTGCACCCATGTTCTTAGTACACAACCTAACGTCTTCACCATGGCCATGAGGCCCTGCATGACCTGCACCCCCATCTCTCTCTCTGATGTCACCTCCCTTCTCTCTCTTATTCAGCCACGCTGGTCTCCTTGCTCTTCTCCAAATAGCCAGCATCTCCCCCCTTGGGCCCTTTGCACTTGCTATTCACCCGAAATGCTCTGCCTGCAAATACTCACATGAGTACCCCCTCAAACAACCCCCTTCAGATCTCAGCTCGAATTTCACCTTCTCTGTGAGGCCTTCCCTGACCAACCTACTTAAAATGGAACTCTTACCCTCAGACCTCAAATTTATTTCCCCTGCATTATTTTTTCCATAGCCCTTGATACCTGACATCCTGTAATTTTGCTTATTCATTTATTCTCTGTCTCTCCCCATTAAATTCTACACGCCACATGGGCGGGGATTTTTTTTTCCTTCATTTTTGTTCTCTATTTCCAGTGCCCAGAACAGTGCCTGGCATGAGGTAGGTGCTCAGTAAATATTTGCTACATGAATAAGTTCTCTAAAAGCTGGGAAAATACTTTTAAAAAGCTGAATACAAAATTAGTACTAAAACACCCCAATGTCTATGCATCTGAGAAAGCATGAGGAGGCCTCAATTTCCTCATCCATTAGAATTGAAGACAAGCCCCCCCCAGTCAGAGCTATAGTGGATTGAAGGGGATGATGCATGTTAACTCAGCGCACCATCGAGATCACTGAGGCAGCGGGGTGGCAGGGGATGGGGGCATTCTAGAGGCAGGGGCCTCATCCAGGGGGTCTCTGGGAGAGAAGCTGGACGGGGCGGGGGCAAGAGAAAGAGAAGGGTGACAATTTGAGTGCAGTGCTGTGCACTGAGCCTGTGGTCATGTCATCCCCCTTTGACTGGTCTGACCTGTGCTCAGGGCCAGTGCCTGGGTGTGCCCTCAGTCACTCAGGTGAGATGGAAGTACGCACTCACCCATGTTCTTGGGAAGACAGCAGAGTCACCTTCGATCTGAGACTTACATGCTCTGTCTGGGGGATGGTGTTTCTTAGCTGGAGATGAATC